GGGGGGGGCACGGCGTACCGTGGATTGTGTACGTCTTTCCTGCACCAGTTTGGCCGTAAGCGATCACCGTCGCTGCAGAGAAAGGCACACACGCGCTCCCTTCTTGCCTGTCGTACGTGGGAGGCAAGCACTCTCATAGACCTACCCACCTGCATAGCCATTCAGGACGGAGTCAATGAGCTGCACCTGCACACCACACAAACGCACACATGGCGATCAGCACAATGAACAAACAAGTGCAGCCACCCTCCCTTCTCTCTTTCTCACCACGCCGCACTGGCCAAAGACATCCAGCTGGGTGGTCTCGGGCGGGAGCGCCCGGTGGAAGGCAAAGTCCCTGTTCACTTCGGCACCGGCGGCACTCCTTCCCTCCACCTGCACCTTCTCCGACCCCTCCAGCACGCGACACCGGACCTCCTCTCCTCTCGCCCTCTCTGTCTCCGACAGCGGCCTCACGCGCACACACGCGCGAATGGCCACAGATGAGCCGCCGCGAGGTGCGTCTGGCATTGACATGGACGGGGTTGGCGGGTTGTCTCCCTCATAGCCTGATCCGGCGTCGCTGGGGCTTGAGCCGCGAGGCAGGGCTATCGATATGGTGGGCTGGGACAGGAACCCGGACGATAGCCCATCGGAAGAAGAAGCACCTGCCGCTGGCGAAACATTCTCGTGGGCAGCTGCTGCTTTCATCCGCAGGGTCCGCCGGCCGATGGTGTTGGGGCTGCCGGCGACTGGCCCGGGGGCCTTCAGCAGAGAGGACATGCCGTTTGATGACCTCTGAGCGGGTCACCAGTTTGGATCGCCGTGAAACCGAACCGCGATCCGTTGCGTGCTAAGCAGAAGCTCTTCCGTTCCCATCCTTCCCCTCTGCCATCAGATCTCCCGACAGAAGCCGCGGATGGAGAAGAAGACGCACGAGTTCAAGGCGGGCATGGTGTGCGAGGGCTGCTCGGGCGCCATCACACGGATACTCAAGAAAATAGAGGTCAGCAGGGAAGGAAGACGACACAGAAGGCCTGCTGACACCACAGAGGGAACGCACGTGAAAGATCTGTGTGTGTGACTTTGTGTGTTGGGGCAGGGCGTCGAGGAGGTGACGTGTGACGTGCCGGCGCAGCAGGTGATAGTCAAGGGCACTGCCGACATGCAGATCATGCTCGACAAGCTCAAGAAATGGGGAGAGGCATCTGACAAGATGGTTGAGTACGTCGGAGAAAAGTGACAAGCCCGACGCCTTCTTTTTGTGTTTGCGGAGAGAGAGAGCGAGAGAGAGAGAGAAGACGACAGCCGTTGTTTCTGTGGTGGTTATGTGTGAACGGTTGGATGAGGTTGTAGAGCGCTGACGTGAGTTGCTGTAGAGTACCCGTCTGTGGAAGCGTCTGCAAGGTGTACCGACGTCACTGCTGTCTTGTGACGGTCAGCGCAGTGCTCCTTCCCTTTTCCTCACTCCCACCTGCTGGCTTGTCGCTGGTCGGCCACGAGACCAGCGGCAACCCCGCGGGTGTTGGTGACAGACAGGGGAGGGAGGCCTGCAGCCGACCAACATGTACTGCTTCATGTTGCTGGCGCTACGTAGAACTGTTTGGATGTGCGGGGGGAGGCCTGAGTGATACATCGGTTGTGCACACTGTCGAACAATTGTCGGGTTTCTACCTTCTCAGGGTGGTATTTTAGGTCCACATTCTTGTGATCAGTGTGTGGACGTGAAGTACCTCGCTGGGGAGCACGAAGCCTCACAATTGAGCGATGGTGTGAAAGAGAGGTTGCAAACTGGCCAGCTGTGTTGTCAGTCAGTGTGTAATGTAATTAGTGCGGGACAGAGTCAGTCACGGGGCTGATAAATGGATTGAATTCTGTCCAGAACTGATCCAATCCAGCACGTATGAACACATTCAGTGAGTCACCTGCACTCGAAAATGTCGCTCATGAGCCACACGCACTCAATGGGGAACATGCCCCTGTCAGCCCATCCCCCACCCAAAACCGCATTGTCGGGCTTCCTCTCTGTCTCACCAGCCGCTTCTAAATCACCCTCGCCCTCGCCCCCGCCACCTCCGCCCTCACTCTCACCGCCGCCACTCGGCACCGGGGCAGATGGCCCGGTGTTGTCACCATTGCATCCCCTGTCGTCCCCCTGGCCATCCATGGCTGCATTTGCCAGCCCCATGTCTTGATCATCATCCCCGCCGCCCTCATCCCCATCTCCTTGCCTCCCGCCGTCTGTCTTGCGTCGGGCCGCCTCTCGCTGAGGCCTCGGGATCCGCTTCGGTCGCGGCTTGCTGACGCCCTCTGTCGCCTCCGACTCCTTCTTTCGGAAGCGCTTTCGCTGGTGTGGCGCGGCGAAGAGCTCCGTGCCGAGGGAGGTGGACTTGACCACCACAGACGGGCGCCACTGTGCTGGGGACGGGCGGTGGTCTGACGATGATGCACTGGCGGCCTCCTTGTTGTCGGTGCCGCCGACCTGCTGCATGTAGTGGTGGAAGGCGGCCGTGAAGGATGGATCGAGGGGGTAGTCCACCCACAAAGGCAGCTGAGAGTGCGTCGTGGTCAGGCCGATGGACGGGCCCAGCCGCCCCAGGCGAGGCTTCACCGTCGGCCCCTGTGACGCCCCAGCGGATTGCTGCTCGTCGGCTTGGTCGAGGTCCAGTGCGATATCCCCGTTGAGGGGCCCCTTCTCACACTTGAGCCGCCCAACGAGACGAAAGCTGGGTTTGGCGGGCTTCCGGGCAGGTGGACAGGCTGCTGCTGTTGCTGCTGCTGCTGCTGCTGCTGCCGGTTTGGGGCTGTGAGCGTCATGGTGCTCGTCCTTGGCTCGCTTGGCGACTGCATCCGACTGTGTGTCGACGGCAGCAGCAGCCGCTGGCCCGCCCTCTGCCTCTGTCGGGTGCTTCCGCTTCATGCCCTGCTGCGTTGCCGTCTCCGGTGGCCCGCCCCCAGTGACGCCATTGGTGTCGGCAGGCCGCATGTCGACATCACCTTCACTGGCATGTGGCCGATGCTCGTCGCCACCAGCCGCCATGGACGCCGGCAACGAGGGGAGTGACGAGGTCGCAGCAGCCGCTGCTGCAGACGATGGCGGTGGTGCTGTGGGGGAGGGGGAGGGTAAGGGGGCGTCTTGTGGTGGGGGAGATGATGGTCGTGCGGCGAAGTCGCGACGGGCCAGCAGCACCTCATATACATCCGCCTCCAAACCTGACCAGCAAACCAACCAAAATATTGATCAGGATAACTGAACCAATGAGCTCGTTTCCCGCCTCTTCTGGTTGTCCCCTGCTACCTTTGTCTCTGTCGTGTATCTGCAGGCTGATGGCGACCTTCATGTCGTACCATGCCCTCAGCCGCAGCACCACCCCCGACGGCCACCTGGCACTCACTCTAGCGTTGTCCACCGAGACGGCCCACCACCCGCGCCAACACGCAGACCCGTCGTCCAGCTTGTGCACACGCACTGGCCCGTCCTGCTCCTGCAGCGGAGGCCGATTGAGCAGACCATTGCTGGCCTGCGAGGCGTCCAAAACCTCGATATCCGTCACCCAGCTGGCGCGCAAGAGGGTCACCTGATTAAGGATGTGGTGTTGCGCATGACATAGGGAAACGGTGAGCGTGTGGGTTGCTACTTGGTCGTTGTGTGAGGGGTTGAGTGGAGGTATGTTGAGGGGGCCGCCGGGCGGCACGCGCAAGAGGAACAGGCGCACCCATCGCTCAAACGGGCCGACGCGGAGGTGCAGCTTTGCAGCAACGGCTTCCAACACCTGATAGGCATGCAAGTCAGAGACACAGACAGACAGACAGACAGACAGACAGACAGAGAGGCAGAGTCTGTGCGTGTGTCCGTGTTTGTGTACAGTGTCGATCGGCGAGTGGATGACGAGGTCCGCTTCGTCGTGAAGCGACGTCCGCTGGATGTTCACTATCGCCAGCTGATTGATAGGATGCGACGCAGACACAGCACACGGCAATCCACCTGTCAGCGCTGTGGCAGGAAGGCAGGTACAGTACCTTGGCGTTTCGCTTCTTGGGTTTGCGATTCTTGGCGTTCATCGGCCACTGTCCGGCGGGGTCCATGCGAAGGCTGGTGCCCAGACAGAGATTCAGCTCAGCATCACGCGACATCTGACCACCACACACCAACCACAGCCTCCCCGCCCGCCACTGCTGGCTACTTCTGCCCCACGCAGGATGGTACCTTTTCGCTTTTGCTTTGGTATCGTGCCTCGAGGTTGTCCTCCCAATCCAGCAACACGTCGACACACTCACCTGATACACAGATGGATGGACACACACAGAGATGCAGCTGGCAAGCGTGCAGACATCATGGATGACCTTGGGGTGGGTAGCTGCAGATGTGGCACTTGTGGCCCGTCGGCGTGAAACTCAGCGTCTGGATAGACAGGACAGGCGAGCACACGGGCCAGTCATTGCCGCCTGTATGACGTTGGTGCCATCTTCTGTGTGCTGACCGTCATTTGGTAGTCGCGCAGGAACCGTCGGCCGCAGTCTTCGCATCGCTCCATGCACACTGACATGTAAACACAGCGGCTAATGAGACCAAGAGAGGACGTGTGGAGTTGTGTGTGCCTATGGATGATACCATTGCCATGCACCTCCGCCATGACGTCGATGGGAAGGCCTGCATGACACACGACAGGCGGACCAACGGATGCCCACAATGGTCTCACCGACCCCACCTGTCCTGAAAACGACAAGAGAAATAAAGGAAAGATCCATTCACTGAACTGATGCCGGCCATTCAGATCCATTCATGTGCAATGCAATGCAGCCCACCTTGCGTGCAGTGAGTCGACATTCTGGGTGATCAGATAACGCAGGCGGCCTGAACGCACCGACAGACAGACAGACAGACAGACAGACAACAAAGCAGCAAACACAGACAGACACATGCAAGTTTGTGTTGCCATGCCAGCTCCCGCCCTCCCAGCCACCATCCCACCTGCCCTCCACAGATCGCATATGAACTGGTGTCCATACGATGGGATGGCTTTCTCGAAGTCGACAGCGTCGCGCTCTTCGTCACCAAAACGGACCTTGTGAGTCTCTGCACACCCACACAAACCAGAAGCAGCAACTCACATGACGTTCGAGCAGGGGGCAAGGAGCATCGTGGGCTCACCGGCGCCGAGCTCCACGCCCTTCTTCTGAAGCGTCCAGCTGCATCGCACAAACGTGACGCAACACACGACAAGAGAGATGGGGAGTAGCCTCTCTTGGATTTGCCGTGCAGGGTGTCATCCATCGTACACGCCAGAAGGGCCACGAAAGTCAGCTATGCCGCAAGTGGTCGATATCCCAGCACCTGACACAGCAGATGCACAAACATAACACATCAGCCATAGAGCCCATACGCGTACCCTACCCTACCCGTGTGCACGACGACGGACTCGGCCCTGCGTATCAGGTCCGCCAGCCGGCCCACCTTGCTCTCAACTGATTGGTCCACGCACACAGGATGAAGCAAACGGAAGAGAAGACCTAGAATGCGTTGGTTGCTTCGTGACTGTGTTTCGCTGCCCGCTCACACGTCTGCGGGGTCTCGCTGAACTCCTTGCAGCCGACGGGACCCTTGAAGTCTGCCGAAGTCACACAAATGCAACCACAGACAGTCAAAGAATTGAAGACCGCAGAGCAGGTGAAGGTGGCGTTTGTGTGTTGTGTGTCATCTGTGCGTACCGCATTGCTTCAGACGAGCGGCGTAGCTCTCCGCCATGGCGACAAGAGATCTGCCCGATCTTTGAGCTCGCAAATCCCCTCCTTCTCTTGCTGCCTCTCTTCTGCCTCGTCCGGTGTGCAGGACATGAGCATGGGTGGCTAGGCCTCGCAAGCCTTTCAAACCAACGACGGCCTGCGGGTGAGAGCCACGTTTAGGCAGCCAAGTGTGTGTTTCAATCATCAGCATGGCGTGCCAGCCCAGCCAGAAACCCACTGAGAGAGGCAGGAGGCAGCACGCTCGGGAAAACACCCACACGCGGTGCGTTTGTTTGTTTGTCCGGTCCGCCTTGTGATCAGGCTGGCTAATGAGGTAATGAGGGGAGGTGTTGTGAGGATTCGCAAGCAGCAATGAGTCACGCAGCGAAGGCAAACACATCTGCACGCCGTAGCCGACCACGGTACGACCGTGCACCACCACCGCACACCACCCTGCATGACCAAACCAAGCGCTGCAGCACACCACCACAACACACCCCTGGAACCAACACGTTCGTTTCCCATGCTCTCCTCCTCTGTGTATGCAGGTGATGCCACCGTGAGGGAGTCGGCCATCGGCCACCCGCGTCGCCAGGTGTTCGAGGTCGGCCAGCGGCAGCAGTTCCTCCTTAAGAAGACACCCCCCGAGCACCAGAGGGGGGACGGTGACGCCCTCGATGGCGGCGAGAAGCCGTCGCCCGCTGTCCTTGGTGTTGAGGGTGCCAGTCAAGGGAGGGCGGGGTTGAGGATCGCCCACAGCAGGAGGTGGATGACAACAAAGGTATGCAACAATTAAGACACCAACAACAAACACACACATGGGATGGATGGACCATTTACCACTGTGCTGCGTGGGCGTGTTTCGTACAGTAGAGTAGCTGGTAGCTAGCGTTGAGGGTATTGGATTGGGGACCAGGGCAGGCCAAGGACAGCGGCACGGACAGACAACACCAAGACAGCCCCGGCTGGGCTGGCACATACACAATCAACACACAATCCAGCACACCACTCACCTCTGCGTATTGGCCTTTTGTGTGTCAGGTGAGGTGTGACAGACAGTTGTTGATGACCTGAGTGCGGTGAAGGAGCCCACCCCGAGTCGCCCGAGCGGGCCGCCCCTGTGCCCATCGCGATGGTGAGCACGGCCAATGCACTGTGATTGAACAAGACAACACATCAAGCACTACTACACAAGACATATGTGTGGGTGTACAGGCTCAGAAGGCGCCTTTGACGGTCGCCAAGGCGGCTGCGCCCGTTGCATCGTCGTCTGGTGCCGCACCACACGTGGCCACAACGATGACCATCCAACACCGACAACAAGGTCACTGACGCACACACATTCATCCGCACACACACACACACATGCGATCATCTTCTCGTCTGTCTCTTTGTGGTATGGATGGTTGATTCATGGTGGTTTACACAGACACTGTGCGCACTTCGTTTGTCCATGAACGTCGAGGCATGTTTGACTGACACCTGACGGTGGCCGGGTGGATGAGTGTGGTGCATGAGTAGGCGCGTGCTTGAATCTCTTGCTCATTCATTTGGCACACGCGGACGGACGCGCAAGAGTCCCACTGCACTGCACTGCACAGTCGACTGGCTGGCTGGCTGGATGGAACACCCACACAAGCAAGAACCCCACACACATACAAACAACCGAGAAACTCCTCTCAAACATGCATATTCACCCAGGCTGTCACACACACGCATCGAGACCTTCTGTCAGAGAAGGAGGCGTGCCGATTGTGTGGGCATCGACACGGCAAAAAACGCCCCGTCCTCAAGACGACAAAGTCATGCAATCGAACACACACACACATGGACACAGACATGCTGCAGATACGGACCGACACCCACGACACTCCACCCTGCTGCACCCACTCCCTCTTTCCTTTGCCCGTCTCCTGTGTGTCTCATCTCACAGAGTGTGATTGTTGTTGCTGCTGATGTTGTTATTGTCTTGGCCGTTGCTTGGACGGTTCTGAGTATGTCGGTTCTTCTTGCGGTGAGTGGTGCGGCGGCAGGTGTGGGTGGGGTGCGGCCTGGCGGGGGGCTGGAGAGGGGGGTGGGACTCCGTGTGGGTGTGTGGTGGGGCGGCTTCTAGCGAGGCCTTGCTGGTCTTGAAACGACGAACGTACCTGAAGAGGGGACGCCAGCAGGTGTGTGTGTGGAGGTGTGTGTGATGTGTCCTGCGCCCACCCTGCGCTGTGTGTGTGGTCGGAGGGGCCGTTAGCAAACAGATTATACGCGGCACTGCACAAGGGAGACACAAATGTAACACGTGTGTGTGTGGTATTGCCTTCTTGTTCTCTTGTGTGAGCTGTTGTTGTACCTGTGCTGTTTGTGGCCACTGGTGGGTGTGATTATTCGGCTCTCTCCAAACCCAACACACCCATACCCAAACGAAGACGGGACGACAGAACCTGACAGAGATTATAGACGAGACACGAACACATTCATCGCCTTGCCATCGTCCTGAGGGCACCTGAGCTGCCTTGGGTGTTGTTGCCTTTGTGCTGGTGGGTCTGCCACACGGACAGTGCCTCCTCCTCACAGTCACGCTCGCAATCCTCAAACGCCTTCCGCACACACACGCACCACAACACAAGGCACAGACACACACATATGAAGAATGTGTGTGTGTCTATGTCATGGGTATTCTCACCTGTCGCACCCCCGTGCTGCCGCCCCCCCGCCCACAGATGCGATGCTCACTGCCCTCCACCACCACGAACCGCCC